CATATTACGTTCCTTAATGAATGAATTGATGAAGTTCCTTAATATAGTTTGAAGCCAAACAAAGAATCAAGGGGTTAATATATTTTTACAAATTTAGGAATTTTCAGTATTATGTATGTTTAAAAATACTAAAAAAAGGGGAAGATATATAAGTCGTTCTGTATTTATTGTTAATGCAGTGTTCAATATTTGGTTAGCAACAAAGACGAGACGACACTGTTAGCATTGGCAATATATACCAGAATAAATCTTTGTTGGCATTCCTTCGTTAATTTTTAGGGCGATTCATTTTTTAATCTTAACACGTGACTTGTTTATTAGTATAAGAACTGTGAGAATTGCATATTTAAATTAATTATCTTTAAATTAGTAGAGTGAATATTTTTTAAATATTGCAGCATTCCATACTTATCTTCCGAAATGCACGTTGCAAGTATAAAATATTCATATAAAATTTATTGCAATTAATCGACAATATAACAAGTAGATTTAGACGATGAAATTTATACTATGAACTCGTAAGATTCTTATCACTTATCATGTATTATGCGTATGATGTGAACGGGGCAAGAATCGTTCATGAAGAAAGTAACTTTTTATTAACAATTGAAATTATAAAAAATCGTCTCGTATTATATTATTATACATATCATTATTGGGCATTCATCTATCATTTGTAACACATTGCATTCACTTACAATTAATAGTATTAAGAATCAGTATTTGTTATACTTACTGTGGCATACATCTCGAATGCAAAAGTTCAATACAGAAAGTATGTGCCAAGTTATTTAAGTCCGTCATCTAATGATATATTTCAGATTCTGTTAAGCATTCTATACTATTACACTCATACACATCCACGACTTATGCAAATCTTTCAACTTATGCACGCACTGTATAGAGATTTTTACAGGAATTTATAGGCGAAATGGAATCAAAAGCTGTTCGATGACACTTTACATACGATTCTCTGTACTTAATGTAACACCGAGATACTTAACGTAGTACTTATAGAAGATAAACTTTAAATTACAAGGTAACATTTGGTAAGTAATGTGCAATAAAGTTTCTCCGTGTTTCACGATTATCTTTAATATTATAGTGCATATTAATCACTGAAATAATGTAGTGAAATATTTAAATTAGATACACACATAGGTGGAGTTGAGTGATTATTTCGCTTTCGTGAATAATCAGTCTGGACCATTTGAATAGTGATTCAACAATCGAGTAATTATACATAAAGCCTTTTAATGATTTTTATTAACGATTAATATAATTTCATCGTTATTTATGATCTTTACATGAAAGAAAAGAAAACAAACTGTGTATTGTACTGAAAGTAATTATAAGTAATTCCGACGCGACATAAAATGTTGTACAACTATTTTATATTTAGCGACATTTTATAATTTAGTAATTTTTATACATTTTTTAAATAAATAGATTTATTGTAGCGATATTCCAACTGTTTGTGCGATATGCGATGCATCTATGTAGAATAAATAATCAAATCGAAACAGAATGTGTCAAAGTCAAGTAGAATGTGTTGAAAGATTTCATAGATAATCTGTAATACGTATTGCGACATTTCAACATTCAAATATTTATTGTAAATTTTCCCTAAATATAATTTATCCGCATATTTATATATCTTACATAATACACAAAAAATAGTTTCCATTGAATTTTGCCAATAATAACTGCGTATACACACACAAGCAGGTAATTTTCAAATGAACGAATCAGAGCGTTTGAAATTAAAATTTCGTATTCCTGCTACATTTGTCACAAATATGGCGACGTGACTGTTTTCGCTGTCGTTCGTCTCTACGTCTGAAGTAAATCTCGCCGGGATTAAAGACTGCTTGACAGCCGTAAGACAGTTTTTCTCTCCTGTAATCTTGTATGTTTTCGAAGACGCAGTATCAAATAATTTGTAATACAGAATTTTGCGTGCAATAACGCACTAACACAATCCGCGAAATTCCAACGGTATTTCGGTACTTGGTTTGCCATAATAAATTTAAATTTTGGTAAAAAAAAGGTCGATCTCTTAAATTTTTCAAACAGAAAAACCACAACATGTTTGACGTATGCGGAAGAATAAACAAAGAGTCGAAAGGTGAATAACAAGTCGTATGATATTAATATAAAATAGTTTTGAATTTTTTTTAATCGTTATACAATATGCCAGAAAAAGTGACTAATTTCAAATGCGAGGGCACAGGCGGCCGCGTCGCGCATGCGTCGGGCATCGCTGCTATCGCTCGTCGGAGGCAGCAGCGTCGTTCGGACAGGAGAGTCCAGTGTGCAAGCGACGAGAACGTAATCAGATGGTGGTGAAGACCGTGGATTGACAGGTCGCGGGGTGCACGAGAGTGAGAGAGAGAGGGAGAGAGAGAGAGAGAAGGAACAAGCATTTACGCGACGGCGGTGGCGTAGGCTCTCTCTCTGTGGCAGGGACGAATTTTTTCTGTGTGTGCGCGCGCGTGAGCGAGCGAGCGAGGGAGAAATAAACAGCGAGGAAAAAAACGAGAAAGAGAGATAGGCAGAGCGACAGGCACGAGTGAGAAGCACGGCTAGTCGACGAACGCGAACGGGCTCGTCATCGACGGTGACGAAATGATCCGCTAGCCTCGTGTTTTCTGGCCTGGTCCGGTCGAGAAGGAGGCCGACGAGGAGGAGGTAAACGCGTGAAGCAGGAGGTGACGGAGGAGCAGAACGACCACTCTTGTCTGGGTAGTTACGAGCTTCTTCTTCGGGAGAACGAGCAAGGGAGAGAAAGAGACGGAGAAAGAGAGAGAGAGAGAGAGGACGAGTGAGACGGATCGCTCGTGAGGAACGTAACACAAAGAGACGGATACGTACGTGAACACGCACGCTTACAGCGCGCTTCGTGCGAAGCAAAACGAACGGGAAGGAAGGACGGAAGAACAGACAGGACACGGTAGACGTAGACAAACGAGAACGAACAGTCGTGCGTTATGACGTTTCATCTCTCGTCGCGATTACTTTACGTTTGACTACTCGCGCGTCGAATTCTAAATCGCGTTCTCTCTTTCCCTTCAGTAGGGCATCCTCGCTCCGGGATTCGGTCGATCGACTGGTCGATCGTCGTGTTCGCCAACGCGTTCTTTGTTTTTCCCTTGTCTCCGTCTGTCTGTCCCTTCGTTCTTTCGTCGCTGCCGAGTGTGTGTGTGTTTATACATTCGTGTCTCTCTCTCTCTCTCTCTGTGTGCGCGTCTCTCTATCTCTCTCTGGTCGAGCGCTCCCTCCTCGCTCGCGCTCTCTCGCCTTCTCTCTCTCTCTCTCTCGTTCACTCTCACTCTATCTCATTCTCTCTATTTCCTTCTTTCTCTGTCGCGCGGTGCGCTGAATATAACGCTCGGTTTACATCGTCGCGGACAGAAGTGCGTTGCCACAGTGCTCAAGTACGACCGCGAGGGCTGCTCTCTCCCTCTCGCGCTAAGGGTGTCCTCGGAGGGTATCCGTGAGGCACTCCATCCAGGGGGCCCACCCGGGCACGACGGCCTGTGATCGGGCTCAGCTGATCCACGCGCAGCGAGCCTGAGGAGCAGAAGGAGGAGGAGGAGGAGGCGAGGCGGAGACGGAGGAGGAGGAGGTGGAGGACGCTAGCAGCGCTGCGGGGCGAGAGGAAGGACTCCTGCCAAACACAGCCGGACGATCAGCACCGATAAAATATGTCGTCCCCCAGCGCCGGCAAGCGACGTATGGACACGGACGTTATCAAACTGTATCCTTGGACCAGCTTTAAACGACGACCCCTGTCCCCTCTTCGTCCGGCCCGTTAAGTACCTCTGTGCGTTTTTCGCGTAGTGGCGCACGTGAGAGATGCGGAGCGACGCGAGCGAGCGAGTGAGTGCGCCTCCTCGCACGCGTCGTACCTCTCTATGCGCACATGTGTGTGTGTGTGTGTGCGTGTACAGAGTGCTGAAGAGCCTGCGCTGCTTCGAACTTCAGATTTCGCGACCTATTCGATTACATGTCACTCGTACGCGATCGCGGCTTTCAGCATCTTGCTAATCGAAGCGTTACGTGGAGATTCCGCAAGGCTAAAGTCCGCTTGGAAATCCGACGTGGGATAAGGACTCGTTATCTATCCGCGTTCGCGAAACTTCGTCGCAATCGCTCGTGGATCAAAAGGTGAAATTGGATTTTCACATGGAGATATTTCGTTCTCTCTCTCTTTATCTCAATTCCTAATTCCAACGCGCGCGATCACGACGCTGGCGCGTCCAGCTCTTCAGCACTCTGTATATACGTGAGTGTGTGTACGCGGTAAATCGCTGGCTCGCTTATCGAGCGCAATCAGCTACATTCTGCAGTAATCGCCGTAGCGCGATACTCAGGAAGCTCGCTGCGAAGCGACGTTGAAGACGACGTTAAAGCGTACCGATCGCGCCGCTTCGACGACGACAGCTGTTTTTAAACTAGCTGATTCTTGTTAGGCGATAGCGCAGATGAGAGCGCGTCTTTAACGCGCGAACGAGCGAGCTACGGTTGTTCGCTAAGTCCTTTGTCGTCTCTCTCCTTTTTTTCTTTCTCGCTCTCTTCCGACTTCGGAAATACTTATCCACCTGTCCCGTTATCTGCGCTCGCGAAATTATTTCGCGCTTTCGAGTCGTTGGAGCAAATGTCGCTCGGCTTAAGCAAATTTCCACGTCCTCGTCTTCACCGTGGACAGATCGAATTGTAAAATAGCGGGTCGTTCGAATGCAATACAGGTGGAAGTTTCTCGGATATGAAATGGCTTCGGAATGCGGAACGAGCGAATTCCGTTTGTCCCCCTTAACCCTCTTTGACACCGTCTTTGTATATTCTTTCTATTTCTTCTCTTTATACCCCCTCCTTGCCTCCGTGCACCCGTCGTTTCTCGCGCCACAAATAGAACGCAGTTTCTGGGAAGATTTCGAGTTTCCATTGCTTCGCTGGGGATTCTCCGAGTATCCAGAGCCGTGGAGACAAAGAGGAACGAGAGATCGGCGAGGGAGGGGGAGGCGGAAAGAGAGCGCGAGCGTTAATTGAGACGTCACTCGTTCGTGGCGAATTCGTGGCGGATTCGCGGCGCGAGCGACGCGAAGTGACAGACGCCGTAGCACGTGTGTGTAAAAATAAAGCAGCGACGACGACGTCTCTATGCACGGCGATCTCCGTTGACGCACGTACGAATGGGTCGATATGTTTCGCGAAGTTCGTCATGCGACGCAACGACGATTTCGTCGATTCGTATCGCGATCGGATTGATGTTCTAAATAATGCGCTTTCAGGGAGTTTCTCTCTCTGTTTGAATTCAAGCTTTTTAAAGCAACGCGATCGGGATTCCTCACGCGAAATTCACGAGGCCCGTTGTGCAATTAATGGAAAGTTTGATAGTTGCTCAGACGCTTTTTTTATCCTCGCGAAGCAGGAGGGAAAGAGAGATAGATTAACCGGCCGATGCGCTCGAGAGATAACACGCCGATAGAAGAAGAAAGAAAGTTTAATTAACGCGGTTAGGGCCCCGTAATCGACACATTTGTTGTTTAACTCCGCAGCTTCGCGATGCGCTTTCCTCGTCCACGAAGTGAGACGGCGCGCTCCAATTCCCGATACTTCGTCGATACCTATTCCCCTTTTATCTTTTTCTTTATATGCACGAACTTTTTACATAGAGTCGACGACGAAGACGATACGATAGCGGCCGTCCGTAATATAATTCTTTTATTCATCGCGATAAACGCGACGGGTTCGAAGGTCGCGACGGAGAGAGCTTCGGGGATTATTATAGCGCGGCGAGGAGCCTTCTCGAGATACAGGGACGCGAATCGATACACGCCTCGAGAAATACATCGTGCGTTTAATTATCGTACCCGGGGAAAATTATCTCGCGGCGCAAGCCGGCGAGACTAACGGCGCGCGATACGTTTACACGTCGTGGCGCTCGGCGCACTGTTTTATTGCCGGGACACGACGAGATATGGACATTAGAAGGAAGAGCAAAAGAGAGAGATTTCACGTAAAAGGCCTGAGAATAACAATTACGAGCGAGCGAGTTTGCGTTTTGAATTGAAACATTGAGAAGAAAAGTGGTAGAATCAACGAAATTTTATTTAAACGAGTAAAATTTTGTCAAGCACAGCATTTAGTCCACAGTAACAAAGTACACAGTTGCTGTAATGAGTTATCAACTGATTCAAATATTACGATTTGGTCAGTAATACGGAAAAAAGAAATTGCTAAAAACGATCCGAATCAAAGTTTCGATGTTACTTTGACGTTCTTAAAGATAATTTACTTAGATAGAGGTCTACAGATTGATAAATATCTACTTTGGCGATAATAATACGTATAACTTCTCTTTTGGGCCTTTAATTCTATAGATTGAATTTTAATACTATCTTCAACAATCTATTTTGACACTAAAACGATGAAAACAGAAATTAAAGACATCATCAGAACCAAAATAGGGGTATCATTTTAACGTCAAAATTGAAATTAGACTTATTTTGCTATCTTAACTTCTACTGTATTGTAGAATCAAAGGTTTAATACAGGACAAAAATTTTGACTCGGATTTCCACAGCTAAAAACTAGCTGTCATAGATAAAAATTAGTTTTCTATATAATACAACTGAAATTTAGTTAATTTAGATAATTCTCTTTGTCCTAATTTTTAGCTCCCACAACTAAAAACTAGGTCTAATAATTAAATTTCAGTTGTATTATATGAACAATTAATTCCTTTTTTTCCGTGAATTATACAACAATTGTGCCAACGCGTAATTTGTTCAATGGACACAATATATTTTTGAACGAAGGTAAACATCGTTTTTTGTTGATTCAACCGCTTTTTCTCAATAAACCGACGCGGTAAACAGTTATCGGTCGGAAAATGAACATAATCCTGTAGCTTGATTATCAATTTCATATTCGCCGTAAATTGAGAATCGCGCTCCACATAGGTTTTTTATGAATTTCATTTATAATAAATACATGAATATTTCTATCCGAAATTGACGCCGGCTTTTCCATGGGGGGCGCAATCGATACGGTATGTGTCCCATCGGCGAGGTTTAATTAACAGGTTTGAAGTTGACATAGTTGAATTAACAAAAAGAGACTTTATGCTAAACGCAATAAATAATTATTGGATCGAGACGCCACGTAATTCCAAACGGGCGATGCACGTTACATAAATACGACATCTATATGCGGAAAAAATTAGCTCTCACAGCTAAAAATTAGCTTCCATAGGTAAACATTAGCTGTGCATATAATACTGATTTTCATTTCTGCCCACTTTTTTAGGCATAATTATCGGGCATAATATCGAAACCGATCAATTGAAAGCTTTTGAAACGCTGAAAGAAAACATGCCGATTTCAAATCTATTAGCATCTGCCTTGTTTCAGAAAATTTTCATTTTTTATACCGAACTGACCCAAACATTATCTCTGGTTAATGCTTGAGCTACGTCATAGATGCATTGTCACATTTTTTCTGAACAAAGGAGTGAACCTTAGAATTGTTTGTGCTTTTGCATACTCCATTCACTTTTGCATTTTTCGTTTATGTTCCTTATTTTTCAGAAGTAGAGTGCCTTCTTCTGAATACTCTAGACAAGGTCTAGTACTCGATGCTTAATACGGATGCTGACAGCTTTGAAACCGGTATATTCTTTTTCAGCGGTTCTAAAGCTTTCAATTGGTACCGGTCTTAACTGTGCCTGATTATTCCTAATAGGCGGGACAGGAAATGGAAATTTTAAAAGTCATCCTTTAGATAATTAACAAGTGTAACAGATACTGAAAAAAAATGTAAGTAGATACAGATATAAGCTTGATATAAATATATAGATATACATATACTATGAGAATATATCTAGATATACTTCATGAAATATATATTTTCATAGTATATGTATCTATATCTAGTTGTTTACGTCAAACTTATATCTGCATCTACTTATATTTCCTTTTCAATATCTATATCTAATCACTTTAAAAAATGCACAATATTGTTACAACATTGAATTTAGCTAATTCTTTTTGTCCCTATGGCTAATTTTTAGCTCCCATAGCTAAAAACTGGGTCCGGTGAAAAGATTTCCAATTTGCATTATGTAGATAGCTGTAATTCCTTTTTTCCCGTATATAAGTTGGATTAGAAAATAGCGGAAACTGGTCGTATTTACGAGAGCCACCGGCACGGATCCACCGGGATTCCACGTAGACGGACGAAAGTCAAGATCCCGACTCGCTCTCGATTCTCGCGCGAACTCGACGCGAGCGATGTTATGGCTCGCGCGTAAACACGCGAGATGCTCTCGCGACGGTGTTTCTTGGCACGCCTTCGGATCCTCCCCGCGAAGTGCCGCGCGGTGTCGCGTGAAACGCGGGGCGTCGAGATTATTCTCGTACGCGCGTACCTCTCGGCGAACTGCTCCTCGCGGAATGCACCGGAATACCAGCGATCGATGTAACTCCTCCTGGTCGCGCCTAATTTTATGCGCCTCTACCGGTGTTCGTAACAGGTGGAATACAACACGGCTCGATAATCCAATTTGCCCGGTCGCTCATTCGCGCGAACTGTCGCCGCCGTAGCTCGTTAACCCCGCCGTGTGTTGAGTTGCTTTCTCGAGGTTACGGCCGAATGAGATAACTAATGCGTTTCACGACGCGTCGCGTACTTTCGTCGGCCAGATGACGATGCAAATCGACTCTCTCCGATCGCAAGTCCGCTTGCTTGTCGATT